ATTGAATCGTTTTATGTTATAATGAAAGACAAGTTTACCAAAGAACTATTGACATTAAGATTCTACGATCTCAAAGAAATTTGTTATTTCTCAGTTAATGAGTTCTTTTCATTTTGACTGTTTATTTTAGATCAATATATAGCTACTTTGTATTGTTTACTTGAATCCCCCCATTGATGTTTAGCACTGCGATTGATCAGTCTCTTATCGGCACATGTCCACAAGCATTATAAGCAAAGATATATAATGACTAGCAGTAGAATCCCGGATGCGCGTTTCTTTTTATTTTGAGCTCGTCAGATGGATGTGCTTGCATATCAGAGTTGATGTTTACTCTTAAACTCTAATCCAGTACTGTTCGATTCAAACACCATCGTGTTATCCACTTAGTTACTGAGTCATGATAGCTTTATCTTGTGTAATGGGGTGAAGTTTTGAATTTACTTGGTATTGTTTCTTTGAATATATAACTATAATTCATAATGATGTTGATATTACCTTTTCATTGAATTATATTATTATCTGAACTAAGTCAGATTTTTTTCTGAAAAATAGTTCTGATCTAATTTGTATTAGGAAATATAAAATTCACGTGAAAAATTGATCGATATTTTTATTAATTAGTAGCTTTGTCAGAAATTGATTATTTTAAAGAGATTTTTTGTGTTACTAAGAAATGAAATGATTAGGAAATCAATGTTCTGGTAGAAAGAGAATTAGGTTGTTATTTTATCTTAATTAATATTTCTCTTAATGAAATACTTTTACTGATAAGTTTTTTGACTACAAGGAAACTATTCAAGTAAATATGGATATTAAAAAAACGTTAGATGATTTAATTTATTTGTATTTTTTTCTGCGTTTAAAAAAGTTGCAACCATGAAAAAAATCAATAACTGATTTGTTGAAGTTTGAATTTGCCAATTATACATGTGTGGTGTTTGTATGAACTAATGCTTGATTTCGAATTCAAAATACAGTACATTCGTTCGTGCTTATCTTGTACTTCTTGATCCGATTGCGTTATTTCTGGGAATCTTAGTTTGTACTACAGTTCAAATACTCCTAATTATCATAACATGACAGTTATATTCAAATTGGTAGTGTAAGGAATTTAAGATCATTTTAACTACTACTGTTCAAAATATTATCTTCAAGTATTTCTACGATCCATTTTACTGACACTTACTTACAATATTATAATCATTAAAATGTTTCTATCATGTTAACTCCATATCATGTACCCATAAAACATTAGTTTAACTTAAAGAGAATCGGTAAGACAGGATTTTATGAAATTGACACCAAACTTCTGTAAGGCTTATACTTAAGACCCTGATATGAAATATGGTATTAGTGAATAGGATATTGGTTTGTATACAGAAATCAGGTTAGTTAGCTGGGTATCGAAGAGTTTCATATAAATCGTTGCAAACCGTGAAATGGTGCATTTGCTTGACTCTAGATCTTTGAATAACCAAATTTATTCAAACTAACGAAATCATCATTACATGTTACTTATTCATCGAACTACTCACTTTGACCAACTATTTACTGCCTAAATCACATGTTCTGTATTTGAGTGATAAGTCAATCGATTGTCTTAAGAATATTTGATTAAATTTGCGAAAAAGCTGAAATACTATTAATTATCATTTTGTTTTAATATCCAATCATCTAACCTTTTAACCCTACCTTCATTGAAATCCGGACACAAAATGCACTAGGTATTTCACACTGTCGTACGGCCTCATACCGAATAAAATACATGACTTTCAGATCTTAACCTCCAAACTACTAAGTTGTCACCTAGTGGTTAACACTTCTAACCTTGATCAGTTATCCAATTATTAAATGTTACTGGTTAAGTTTCGCTCACGCCTGGTATGGATGTCCAGTGCTTTCTGATTTTCAGTTTTTGTTTAACTTAATGCTACTCCTTGATATGGAATCTAAATACTTCATTGTGCTCGTATGAACATTTAGTTTCTCGATTCTCAACTTATTCAATGTTTAATAAAATTTCGAATCAAATAAAAAGCTTATTAGCTTGTGCTTAGCTATGAAATATATCTTCGTGTTATCTGCACACATTGACTTGTTTGACTCAGAAGTATTCAAATTTAATTGTGATATGTAGCTGATATGATCTAATTTGTTCCATTCAGTACCACTGTTGGAACAAATCTTCAATTACTTACTGAATAATTTAACACAATATAGATATGAGATGTATGAGAGTTCACATTATCAAAACTTTAATAGAAAGTCTATGTAAACAAATAAATGGATGACAATGAACTTTGGAAACTTAAAACACACATAGACATAGCCATCTGTTCATAATTTTTAACAAAAAAATATTTTTTAAAGAAACCAGATTTTTGTCTGAAGGGTAAAAATTTGCAAATACTAATGAGATTTATTATAAAATCCCCTGACTTTACATTTATCTATGTATTTGTACTTTCCCAAATTCTGAAATGTGCAATAACTTGAAGCTCAGTAAATTTTGCTGGCATTTTTGAAAAATAGTGGTTGGAAGGAGTTAAAAAACGCTTTCGTCGACATAAAACAAGAAATCAGGGGAAACCATAAACTCAGATTGCACAGTGTGTCCTAGATAAAAAATACAATCTATTAGTATGGAGATAGAAACATGGTAAGTAATGATCATATTAATGCTAATTCTTCTGTACTGCGTATGTTAAAGTTCCAGCCCTTCTAAAAGAACCTCGTAAGATCTGTTTTTGGTTGAAGTGCTCTCTTGGTTGATCTTCTCTGAATTTGCTCCAGAAGTACATAAACATGTTGAGTGCTCTTTAATCGAACACTTTCTCTCGGGTTAGAGATTATGACGAACTGACAACCAGTTTTGTAACCTCAAGTAATATCCACTATCTCTACTTTTGCTCACTTTCATCATAGACCTACTACTAGAAATAAAGTTCTCATCGACTGACTTTTCAGGAATTGATCTCTTACCAGGAGGTTGACTTACTGACTATGAATACGCAGATGACATAGTTATGTTTGGTGAAGACGCTGATAAAATGAAGAGTATTTTGATAGCACTGAGCAACAATTTCAGGATGTTTAGATTGTGTTTCTCCTTCTCTAAATGCGAATTGTTGCTTCCGGACTGGCCTGCGTCAACGCCTGAACTGGGTTTAGGAAATAAAGTGGTCGAACGCATCGACAGCTTCACTTATCTTGGAAGTCTGATCAGCACTAACGGTTTGGTGTCTGACGAAATCTCTGCACAAATTCAAAATGCTGGTTTGGCTTTTGACAACATACGTCATCTATGGCGAAGGTGAGATATCCGTCTACCAATTAAGGGATAAGTATACTGTGCAGTAGTTCGTTTTGTTCTACTTTACGGCTGCGAAATGTGACCATTAGGAGTAGAAAATACTCGTATGTCTTAGAAATATTGCTGGTATCACCGGGTAAGTAATAGTGAGGTCAGACGCAAAGTATTAGGAAATGATGATAAATCAATTGATAAGGTTGTAAATCTACACCGACTGAAGTGGTTTGGCCACGTATTACCTATGCCCGAACACTGATTATCGCGACACGCAATGGTGAATAGTGTTGGAGACGGTTGGAAGGAAGTAGCAGCTAAGCTAAAATGTGGCATCAATTCATAAAGTCACTAACTTTTAGTCCGAGTCATGTTGTTAGAGACAGACTACTTGGTTGGGGTCCGCGCGACCATCGTAACCAGTGGTTGGAGACTCTAGGTGACATGGTTCAGAATCGATCACAATGGTGTAGGTTTATACACTCTTTGTCCACCCTTAAACCGTGAGATTAAACTGAATTTATACCTTTCTCTATACGAACTAATTCTTTCTCCCTGTATCATATCTTAATAGGATATCTTTTCTTAATACCACTGAAGTAACTGCTTCTATTAATTTGATGTTAATATTGTTATGCTAATGAGGTAATGGCAACTTGGACTGATGCATATGTGCCTGGTTCAATGTTGTAGATGATTGAATGACTCTCCATGAGCTAGTATCTCACTCGAATAACGAAGTTGAGCCACTAAGATTCGCAGAGGAACCAAATAAATACACTTATATGTTGAGGTGTACCAATAAAAATGGACTTTTTGTCGACCAACTTGATATTATGTATAGTTCACACTTCAGAGTACAGTTCTCAAAATTACCTAGATGGTAAGCTTAAGAATATTACTACTATACTTCTATCTACTTGGTGAATGTATCACAACCAGATACGTAAACCCTGAGAATGAGTACTAGTTTTTTTGGATCCAGGATACGATAATCATGTCCAAAATTTAGATTAATTGATTACAACTACGTATTTAGAAGGCAGTTTTTAGGTAGATTTGTTGAATGGGACCTCGTTATCAAGGGAAGACATGTGTGCACTTGTTTTTTTACATTACATTAATTATGGGTCGACATTTGTGGATAATCAGTAGTGTTTAGAACTAATTTCTGGCATTATTTCCTTATACATACAATGCTTATAAACATTCCCACTAACGCTTCTGAGTACGAGAAATAATCTGGTATTATAAAACCAAGTTTAGAAATGGTGACAAATTTTCTACGACTGGACGTCGTCGAAACCTGATAGATCATTAGACAAAGCAGGGTACGGAAACCGAATGGAAAGCTTAGTTATCGTAATGTGCGGCATTTCGTCTTTCAAGGCCACTAATTGCCAGCCAAATGAGCCACCTGACGACATTAAGGTCATTGCCAAATATTTAATTGTAATTGGCTGGTTTATTTATTGACATATGAAAGGCAGGTAGATCTGATTGGTCAGAATGAATTAAAAGGTCAGTAAACTGGAGGCCAATTGGAATGAAGTAAAAATTGTATTATCCGAAATTAGTAGATCGAGTCACTGGTCCGGTTGAATTTTTGGGAGTGGGTTGTTCTTCTGAGTATTGTCTAGGTGACGTAGCCGTGCATACAAAAGATTAAATAAAGCAGAATCTGCAAAGCATGATGTCTTGTTTTCAGAACCTGTCAGATGCACTGGATGATACCTTTTCTGCAACTGTGCAGTCGGAAGATGAACTGGATTACGCATCTGCAACACTCGTCTTAGGTAATTTTGAGTTAAATATTCATCAAAATGCAATTAATATTGTGACTACTCATTTGTTCATTTACATCCTTGTGTTTTTGTCGTTTCGTTCTAAATTTTTGGTGTGTAACAGTGTTTTGAAACTTGCGATTATTTTTCCCTACTAAAAGTGTGAATTTTTATCAATTTAAGTCGTATTTTATGGTTATAGACCTATTTATAGTCTAACAAATGTTCGATTTTGTATTAGTTGTATGTGGTTTATACGACATAAACACCGTCCAATATTGTATAAAAACTTAAGATTTCATAGCTTCATGTCTTGCACTGAACCTAACAAATATTACGGTGTTTAATAACAATTGGGATTAATTAGTAATGCCAATTGAATATGAGAGTATTAAGGCGTCATTCCCAAGCAACCTATATTGTCAAAAATAACTAACCAGAAGCCTACTAAGGGAACTTAAAATGATTGAGCTCACAGGTGTGGTCATCTTTGCCCCAATCATCAGTGTATATTTAAAGACATTGAGTACCTTCAAATTGTATATGCCAGACTGTCTAAAATCTTGGTCATCTTCTGAAGGTGTCATCCTTGTTCACCATTAGTATAGATTAACCCATTCCGTAATGGTTAAAGTGTTTGGGTTTCAACTAAACCCAACTCGAACTACTTTCCTTTATGTATGTGGGTAGTATTGAGACCCATCACGTAGTGACTCGATCGCGAGCAAATAAATATGATCTACGTCCTTATATTATTACTACCACATGGACCCATACATTTAATCTTCAGTTTCCTATATGTGTCAGTTTATCATTTACTGGTTTCAGAGATTGGTCCAATGCTTTGACCTTTCTTTCAAACAATTTAATTTTACCCACGCTTCTAATATTATAGAGAATAAGTGATGACGCGACATATGCGACAGATTTCACTTAAAGCAGTTGGTGTACGTCCAAATGTTGAAATTTTTAGGATTGAAAAGGTAGCTTTCTAGTCCGTATCTTCATTATTACTTATGACTATAGGAATACAAAACATGTTATTGGCTTTATCAATACTAGGATGTTGTGAGTTGTCAGCCAATATTGACGTATGACCTGGGACGATTGTGTGCCGTTCGAAGCCACACGTCGTATTCGTACATCCATGGTAAAAAATTGTTCTAAAAAAAGGCAAATTTGATTGGTAAATGGATAGTGAATGATAATACTTAACTCACTATTTCGGGAAAGAGGAAAAATGAATGCAACTACACGAATGTAATAGACTTCGCGCCATGTTGTAGTAGCCAACGTGAGGTCTCTGAGTCCACCTGTAACGTCCATCTAACATATTGGGTTGAACATTTTTTAAAGCTCTGTCTGTTCTAAGTAAAGGATCTTCATAAGCTCTAACTGATTCTGTTATAGAAAGGGTTGTTCGATAATGACGTGTAGTCAGCAGATAGTTAAACAGTGCAAACCCTAACACAAGCTTTTATCTTTTGGTGCATTCGGAATTCGTATGATTACTGGTGGAACGTGGTATTTATTTAACGCAGATTCCAACTTTCGAATGATACCTTCTCGTTACTTGTTTCAGTGGGTAAGATGTCTCATAAGTATCGTTTTGTTGACTCACTGTTGTATTCAGTGTCAGAAAACTTTCAGTTGATAATATGGTTTCCTTATAAAGTTTGATTCTTGTAGGAGTAGTTAGGGTTCCTGAGATATGTTGCAAAACTGTAATTATCAAGTACTGTATCATAATACCCTTTAGTTCTATTATCATCCGTCTCACTTTGGAATTTTCATGTCTTAGACCTTATGTAATTTGTTTAGTGGCCGGTTTATGTAGTCATTGTGAACGCAGTTCAGATGTAATGATATTTGGTGATCTTTGGTCACACATGAGGAAAAGTATTAGCTGTCTAAATTGAAATGGATGGAATTTTATTTGAAGTAACCAAAGTACAGTATAATGTTTGCAAGGACAGCACGGCTTTTATTACTGAAATACATTGCTGTTAAGTTTAGTTCATAATTCTTCCAAGTAGCTAGTCTTATAAATTCAACACCAATATCACCAAACTAAAAATATGAGCCTATCCGCTATTATCATTGGTGACTTTTTAGGATTATTGTTTCATACTTTGGCTTAATAAACCCATATACAATTCCATATATTGTTTTGAGTCTGATGGTTCATTTAGTATACGATACCTCATATCCCTCTGGAGAAAGTCTGAAGTTGTTTCGGGAAATTCGTGGGTTTGTGAAGTTTTACTAAAAAATTATTTATAAACTTTTCATCGCAATATCTGCTGACCTCATCTAAGGTCAGATTACCATAAGTACTCTTCCTTGGTGACTTTATTTCTCGTTTAAATATATTCTACATAATTTATTCTAAGTGGACGTCTCCGAGATTATTTAATCAATTAAAGCTATTTATTTGTGTCACATTGCTATTTTAAGACCCAGCTTTATTTATAAAGGAAATTTTTCGCTATATTGTACTGCAATCACTGGTTTATTAGGGACAGTAATTCCTTTTCGTTTTTTTTGTTTCTACTGTTTAGTGAAATTTTTAACTTCCAAGCCTCTTTGTTCAGTAACTGCCTTATCCAATTTTGCTTGTTTCTCATACAGCTGGATTATTACAAATTCATTCCCGCACACCTCGTTATGCATTTCATCAGGCGCGGTTAGATTCATTTCCAAAAATAATTCATTCAAAGGATTCTGCGAATGATTCGACAATTTGCCAGTCAAAGTCTCAAGTTCCATCTCCTTCTGAGCTGGCTTCGGCAGGCTTTTTTCACACTGGTTCTGGAGACGAAACTGTCTGCCCTGCTTGTGGTTTGGGGCTACGTGATTGGCAGGCCACAGATCAACCTGAAGCGTGTCATATCGCATATTCGGCTGCCGCAACAGCTGCCATAGAAATGGGTTCGGGTGACGGACATTATCGCTCACCTATCCCAACTATACCATGTCTCTACCTTATTGTCCATCGTCTTCTTGTTTCCGAAATTCCTCTTGCTCGTAAGTCTTTGGTTCCGGTTGGACAAACGCAATCTGTCCGAGGTCTTCCTGGAGTAATTTGTCGGCCTGTAGTACATTTCACTGACCAATCTTCTCAAAACTCATCTTGTGAATATCCATCTTTGGCAGATAGATTATACGCGATAGCTCATATAATGACTGCGTCTCCAGCTCCTCAAGGATGGCCAGTAGAAAATGCACGTGCTCTGGGTCATTCAGATGATTTAATTGTTCTTGCATTGTGGCGTTTGCAAGCGGAAGCTGCTGGGATGGGGCTGGCGTGTCCACCAATAAAGTCAATCTATATTGATCCTCATGCTACAACAGAGCTATTAAAAGCTATTTTAAGAGTTCAAGAAGGGTATGATATATCTTCCAGGAACAATCTTGAATTCTATCTGGATGCTTTCGACGAGGAAGAAGTACATTCCACCGGTGAAGCACTAAGTGAAGGCAATGAAGGTGACATCACGGCGGAAGATGCAGAAACAGCAGCTTTATCACAATGTCGTCGATATTTGCGACCACCACAACAACAATTTAGTGACCCAACTTCATCTCCTCGTTCAGTTGAATCATATGGATTACAAATGAAAAAGATCCATCTTCCCCGCTTTTATCAGTTTCTCGTTTGGTGGTCTCATCGTTGGCCTGCGACTCATTCTCTGAAATAATTTAACTACCTCTGAGTACTTAATCTTATTCGAAAGACAGATGACTTGTGGAGTGCACGTGCTACCCACTTCGAAAGCTAGAACACCTACTCCCAGTTGCTCATAATACATTAATCATTCAGTTTCAAAATAATATTTAACTTCATATACTTTAGGGAACAGTATCTATTTCTTTCGATACATTTTAACAAATTCACTTCACACCTAATATACTTGATAAATTAAGTTTGTAATTTCCCTTGTAAAAAATAAATATCCTATTTTATGGGATTTCGAGTTGATTATCAAACATCAAATGTGCACTCCTTTTAGACAATTAAGGGACTTTCCAATTTGGAATTAATATCTTGTTTTACATGAGTGTTTTTGTGTTGAATTTCGTTTTAATTGACAGTAATTTAGAAGTTAATAGTCAAGTCTTTTGATATTTATCGGTTCAAATGCATATTAATCCATAAACAGAGACTTATAGCATGCACGTGAAATCAATGGGACTCTGTAAGCACCTACGCTGATGTGCCCCAATACGGTTACCAGGAACCAGTCGTATGATTTATATGAAAAATAACCTGCGTAGAAGAGATCAGTGGTGAATACTTACAGTTAGTCTTAGTCACACGGAATTCAATTACTTAAACAAATGTATCGTTTTCCGGAAAATTAGTGGATTTGTGTTGTGGTTGGAGGCGGTTGACAAAGAAACCTTGGACCTGGGTTCCATTACATGGCATTTCGGTGACTAGGCTCGTGTCTCGCAATTCACAGTACACTCACTTTCCATATTTACAAATCATCCTATTGATGGTAGGAATTGATTTTCTCAGTTAAGCAGACGTAACTTGTTGCGTCATTACGTGATATGCAGGACCAGCGTGTCAGACTTAAGCTCGATTAATCTGTATAACTGTAACAAATAGTAAATTTATGCATAAGGATTCGCTGTAATTAGCTAGTGAGGACTTACAATAATGCCACGGGCGAACCATTGTGGTTTGTAGAGAAATTGGAATACTTCACGTTTTTGGCAAACGATACAATTGTGTTATCATGATTTTTAATATGAGCTTTATCTAGATTACTGTAGTAGTTGTTGGTTAAACAATTAGTAGCAATGAGATTTCACACGACTGAAGGGTTTAATGTACACTTAACTATTAATGCTTTATACATAGCTTCAAATGGACTAAACTAATACGTACATCCTGAACGACAGTTTAATAATAGGTTAGTTTTTTATTACCAAGACTGAAAGTACATATGAAGCGGTCCATAATATGAAAATCCACCTCGGAAATGGGGGATAATCTCAGCCTCATTGTCTGAGAATAGACAAATTGAATGCCTTATCTTACTGAAAGTGTTCTTACAGTCCACTGGTTAGTAACAATTATCAGCTAACTGGAAAAACGACTGGTTAGAACACACGATACTTTCTCATCTATTGACCGAGTGATGATCCATTTAAAGTAACATGTATAAGATTTTTCATGAATTATTTAAGGAAACTGAGCATGTAGTAGTTATACTTCGATCTAGATCACAAAGGGATTTTGAGCGGATAGGAATGTTTTATTTTAGTTGCAATATAGATTCTTAAGCCACTCCCTTATACCATGAATGAGATGATTTATGTATGTAATTATTTGCTAATTTTCTAGTATCCCTATGTATCACTAAGCATATGTATATTATTTTCATTTAGTGTCAGAAACTGTTTCTAACAATCTTTTACGATTTAGACAAGTGGTATCTTACTATACATTCGAGCTATGTTTACCTAAACATCGGTTGTTAGTTCACATTCAGTGTATATACTTCGTTAAATCGGTAGTTATTTTTGGAAACAACCTCAGAAATGAATTGTCATATATGCAATGATTTAACAACTGAGTAGGAAACAGGGAAGATTTCAGAAGTTACTTTCGACAAGGAACACAAACAGCCCTTGCAAAGCAACCTGACGATGTGAGATTAGTTTCACTAAGGAGCTTGAATAACCACTCATGGGTCGTAGACTTGTAGACACTACATTCAAGTAAATAATCTTATGACTTTTTACAGTGAACCAATAGATGCACTAACCATACCTTCCCTAAATTGTGTGACTTATTTGAAATCTGGATACAGTCGCATCCATTCTCGTTTTTCCTTCAAAACTTGGCTATCTGATCCTTTTTTCCCCATCTTCATATCTCTTTTGCTTTCACTTCTACTGACTTTATTATCTCTCTTTATTTGTTTCTCATCTTGTTAGTGTTCTCTCGTCATTCTAATGATCCCCTTGTTAATAATAACTTTAGATAATACTGAATGTCAGACAGATGAAGATCAGTACGCAGGATAATTGAGATCTGGCAAAATTGTGAATAAGCCAAGACCATATTACAAACACATGTGGCGAATAGCTAATAAATTCGCTACACAACTAAATATGCTTTTCTTTTGTAACAGCGCAATACAGTCTCATGCTGCGTACTTCACATTCGAGTTACTGCTTGTCTTGTCGAAGCCCTAGACTTATTGGGAACAGCCGTATTTTGTCAGACTATTTCAAATTCACATATACTATGTGCATGCACATCAGATACCATGTTTCTAGGGCTTGGAAAGCTCTATTACGTCTGTTGAGCGTCAGAAGCATAGTAGGATCAGTAGTTAAGTCAGTTTCCGGTGTTACGTGACCTTAATTCAAGGAGCTGGGCAGTCTCAAGGTTACTAATGCGGAAGTTGTAATAAGCTGACGAATGCCAACTTCAGACACGGAATCACATTATAAGGCAACCGCTTTTACAACCCATACTCGATTTCAACGTCATTAGACAGTGCTGAGAGTGAAAGTGACTTAGAAATAATCCAGTTACTAAGGACGTTGGACAGTGGTTAGCACAACTTTAAACAATGTTATCTTCGTATGACATTGCACTTTAGCGACCATACAGAGGGACTTTACACGTCCGTGTCGCAAAGCACATAAGACATGAGTACTAATCACAACTAACCTGGTGATGCTCCCGGTAGCCAATATACCACGGTAATAATGAAACCACATAGCATGTATGCTAAATATCATTAAGGCCTTCCTTTAGTAACACCTAGACTACTACAAACTATTCCCACTAGAGTTGTATCAATCAGAACATGACAAATGGTCGCAAGTCATTACTTGATGATGGGAATGATTTCTGAATTCATAACTGTCTTGAAACAAATATCTACAGCCACATAAAATGATTATACGAAAATGTAAACGCAAGATATAATCCGCAAGACTAATTCGTCAATAACTGAATCTGGGATTTTGTAGAGAATTTAAGTTAACCAACTGTCATACAAGGTGATATGAAGTCATAATCGGAAAAGTTTATTTGTATTTACTAAGACGATTTTATTGCAAAGTTTGAATAGTGCTAAGTCTTACATTTCTCCTAAAATAAAACACTATACGTGGGATTTAATCAGGAGCTGAATCGACAATAGATATATGCGAACTGTTCTGACAAATAGCTGAAAACATGGGATTATTAGCATGCAGAAACATAGTTATTGTACGATTTGCATAGTACAAATCATCTTGTTCGAGATTTCGAATGACTTCTTCGAGTATATGTGCTCTACATGCATTAGTGCCATAGTTGTCTCCAGAATCTATGTGCACAAAGTGAATATGAAATCTATAAAAGGTTGGTGGATAATGTACATAAGCAAGAATCTGGTCTTTTGATAAAATAATTTTCGGATTATCACCAGACATTTGATTATCGGATGTTTCTGATTTAGAATATTTGTGAAAGAGTGTATCACGACCCAGCTGCAAAATTCTTTTTAGCATTGGAACATGGCAGCTACGGAGATCCCGTAGACAAGTTAGCTTTCGGTCGTGAGCAATACCCAAACAATGAAGTTCTTGGATGCGTAACCCATCCCATCGGTAATCTAATACTAATGTAAAACCAAACATTTCATCAGCATCATTGTGAAGAGTACGATCTTGTTCAGCGATTCCTGCTACTACATTATCAATCCAAGTAAGATCCTTTGGTTTCTGGGACAGAAAAGGGAGAATGACATCCTTATACAAAGCAGGAGTCTCCTGAATGACATGACGAGGTGAGTTGGTATATCTACTAAAGTGATGTGATTCTGCAGGATACGTCACAGTCATTTCAATACCATTAATGGACTCTAGACCATTTGTTATAAGGAAGCGATGATAAATATCGTTCTTCATAATGGACTTGGCTTGCCATTGGGGAAAAGTATCATTTTCAGTCTCGTCAGTTTTATCTTCTTCATGGCATTGGTCATCAATATCGTCGGAAATATGGAGACCAATGAGCTTATTAACTACTTTACAACGTTTTAAAGTGTTCGGATCATTTGGGAATGATGATTTCTGAAGTGTAACAATAGCTTCCTTTGGATCATCGCCAAAACGAGTATGTAACACTAAACACTTATTTCGAAGATCGTTTTGAAGAACAGATATTAAATGCATATTCTCAGGACAAAAAGAGGTAGCATCCGTCGAACCGTTAACATTGTCAACCGTTGATACATCCAGTCGGGCACGTTTTTTCGGCGGCACAGGTGTGTCACCGATCCGGAACGAATTTTCAGACATCTTAATCCGAAAAGGCCTGAATAGCTAACACGTCAGATTCACGAATACGAGCTTTGCAAACCACACCCAACGGAGTATGCAGATCTTTTACACAAATGAATCCTGGTTCTAACTTCGTCTTTGAGTTACTTCTTATATCTGAAGGGCACCAAATATTTAGGGTGGCCTTGAGAGGTTCCTTCAAATCAGTTAAATAAAGCAGAACTGAGCAGTCTTTACTAATTTTCTGCAGCAGGGACAAATATCGCAAACGCAGGAAGGAGCTCGATTCTTTTTCGTTTGTTCCTAGATGGTGAATACTAGACATTCAACCAGCATACACTGTGAAGTTAGTCCGGCAGAGAAGTTTCACTATAGGATCGTAGTATGGTCGAAGAAACGACGATCCGTCGGCAGGCCCAACAGTCTAAAAACAAATTAGAAACTATGTTTACAGAAGACACAATGATAAAAGTAGTTTAGTATTAATAAGTGGGACTAAAATGTTCTAATCAAGGAAATTGATATCACATACAGATTATTTACCTCTTCCGGTCGTTCGCCTAAGTAATGAATTAGATAACATGTGAGAAAATGTGTGGTGAAACACGTTCATAACTTCGAAGACAAATTTATCGAAAACGAGTAAATGACGTATCTCATGGCAAACAAGAAAAAGTGAGTTTCTGACTAACATGACCTAGTTTGTCAACACTTAGTATGAAAGCCAACGAATTATGGGTTTGCTGTTATTAGAATTAATCTTTTGCGTCACATTTTCAATAATGAGCGTCAAATTGGGTGCTTACAAGAAAAATTGCTAATTGAATAAAATGTGGGTATTATATCTATTTAGTTGGATACAACTAATAGGAAACTTTGAATTCAGATTTTATACTCGTTTACATTCAAAGATAAATTTAGTTATGGTTATGCGGAAGTAAGAATTACTACATAAACAAAAAGGAAAAGACACGAAGGAAACAAAAATGTTAGCTGATTAGTCAAAACAATAAGAAACTAGTAGAAAAATCGACATGTATGAAAATGCGGTAATCACTGACAAAGTACATTTCCATCACTAGTATTAGTTTGTGCCAATTAGTAAATGACACCAGAAACTTCAGGAAAACCGCATATTTTTAAAAGCCTAAACTCAAACTGTGGAGAAACGAAACTAGAGACGATGGCAGAGTTTGAAATTTTGATTTAACAACTCATGAATGAATTTACCCAGTATTTAGATTTTAGAGCTAGCGAAACAATTAAAGATGAATCAAAGAGCACGAGCTGCACGGATTTATCGTACCACTGCCTAGAATGTCAATATCGAAGTGATGGCTTCTTGTAGCGAATATGTACCAGTAAAAGGATATCTAGGTTTTATTTTATCTAACTCTACTTTAACAAGTTTGGTTTATCGACCCAGTGAGTTTGTATGACTGTCAAGTAACCAACCCACGTCAGCCAGTGGGGATCTAGCAAATTTTCGACCAATACGTTCTTCCTATCTACAATCGACGTCTGTTTAACACTGCCAGCACGGTGGCTTAAACTTAGCAGTGGTGTGCCGGAGCACATGACTGAGGACCTACAAATTATACAGCTTATCAAACACTGATGCAATATACTCAGGCAAATATCGAGTTGATACTATGTGAACAATTGTTGAATCGAATTATTGTACCTGGGCTACGATCTTGTCGGGAACGAAAGGTGAGGCGACTCTGCAAATAGGTGGTCTGTACATCTACCTGATTTCCTACTCTTGATAAACTCATTCAGCTGCTTCTCAAATCTTAGTTGTCGGTATAGACTAGCTGAGAAGCACTTACTTTTGGAAGGTGCGAAATAGATAACCATTCTTAGAATTTTGTTGAAGACGTCCAAAAACCTTACATCTTTTTGTCTTTACCTGAAACTATTAGAGTAAGGGATTAATCCAAGGAGATAAAGTAAACTAAAATCACCCCGTATCAGCACATGAAATAAGGGTGGGCAAAATAGTTTAATCGTTTGAGAGCACCAACAAATTACATTCCTTTGAATGATTTTTCACGAGCTCTTAAACGGGTGAGTTTTTGGTCACTACCATAGAAATCTCGACCCTTTCTCTAGGAATCTGGAAGCCTGTTTATAATCACCTATCCACATATTGGGTTACATGATATGAACAACCAATCTTGAAAGGTTCCAGTTTTAAATGTAAATTGAGTATGGGACGAAATTCCTTAGGTATTTAAATCATTGTGTCGCATTACGTTTTTAAAGATATTTTGCCAAATATGTGCAAGAATACTCAGGATTTCAACTCGAATCATATTTCATGGAGTACAATATATAACAGTTTAGCGTTCTAAATTAGACAGACAAACAACAGTAACCATGTTCAATACTGACTTGAAACTATTACCCTAAACAAATGGTGAAATATTCATACTCACTTCAACCGAAATTAGTAGTATATCGATGAGATACCAGAGACCGAAGCCACCGAATGTGAAGAATTTCAAGCAACCTGTGCAAGAATATAGTTAATAAGCTAACTAACCCAAAGCTGGGTACCCAAGATAAAATCGGTCTAAGCCAAAAAGTCCGCCAAATACTGAAAGCAATAATGCCAGATCAAACTTATATCCAGTCCTATACAGAAATATAGTTAACATTGCAAATTATGGTCAAACTACACTCGACGGCAATCTATTAGCTTTTGAAAACCAATTTCTGTACCACTGTAAAGCTTTCCACTACAATGGATTCCTGGAGCCGGTCTGCAGTTAACTTACACAGAGTAGGGTATGGAATTTTTAAAGTACCTGGAGCTTTCAAAAAGAGAGAGCAATTCCTTGGCTGCTGGGTAAGCTCGTCTATCAGAGGGGAGTCACAGATGTACTGTCCCGGTAAAAGATTTTCACACGATAGATCCAAGCTAGACTGAATAGTATGAGCCAACTTCAAACAAAGATAGAAAATAACCAAGAACATAAACATGGTATGACATGCCCGCGCAACTTCAACACTCAAGTCCATCGTGAATTGTACAATGTATAATAGCCTTACAAACAACCCAAATTTTCGTTCCAGAAAAGCAGGGGAAAATCACACTCTCATAAGTAAAAACGCACAATATTGAAATGAGTGATCCTTGCTAAATTTGTTGTCCATAGTTTTATTTGAACACTACGTGATCTGTCCAGAAAGTTCTGAATAGTATCCCTATATCAATAGAAATGTTTGTTCGTTAAAACTGGCAGTCGTATTATATCCATCATCAATTTATTTATTTCACTTAATTTAGATTTGGTTATTTGTTGAACAACTATTAGTCGAATAACTGGGTGGTGAGAACGTACAGGAAGTCTATTCGGCAAGTTGATATAGACGTATTTCCAAGGATCCTCGATGATAGCCGGTGTTTGTTATCACTGACACACATTTTCAGGGGTAAGTCGAAATCAGTTATCCTTAGATGTGTTATGATGGACTTGTGGAGATGATTAACATAGAGTTATCTCGTAATTCGTTTTTGTTATTAGTTCTATTTTTTCATTACTTCACATAATCTGTACGATCACCATTATTGGTCGTAAAATTGCCGTTTAGAAAATAGTAGCACGGCCTTTGGCCTTCTGTTCTGGTTTGTGAACACAAATAGTATAAACTGTTGATTGTCACTCACAAATACACAGCTGCACACATAGGCTAATCTCGTTTCTTGACTTACTAATTTATTCGTCCTTTTCAAACTATATTCTGACCCTATTGATTATTCGTTTATTAAACCTGACTGTTTCGATATGATCATATCCGTGTTGATTGCATGCCTTGTTCATTGTGTTTCTGTAATTTGCTTTTTAGTCTGGCTATAAATATTGAGTAACGCCTGATTAAATTTAGTTGACTCACTCGGCTTCTCCACTCCGCTTCATTCGATTTCGCTTCGCTCTCTCCTGTTTGCTTCCTTATCTGCGTTTCCTTGACTGTCCGTTCAGAGTAACGACAAAATGAAATATACGTGTCCAAAATGGATTCTCGTATTCGAGTTATTTAAACTCCGTTATTCACTAACGTGGATTAAGTCAAAAATTAGATGCGATGGTTGACAGCATATATATTTCGATAACGGTCAACAAACGATTTAAATGAAGTTAAACATAGGTCCACTAGACTATGCATCAACTTTCGTGACTATGAGAAAACGTTTGACAGAGTGGAAAGAACCTTATGGAACTTTCTTCAACAGTGTTGTGAGTAGCTGAGAAGATTGCCAACATCATCCGCAATTCATACGACGGACTAAACTACAAAGTCGTGCATCGCGGACAGTTTATAGATGCATTCCAATTAAGTATCGGAGTCAGACAGAAGTGCTCACTCTCACTATTTCTCTCTTCTAGTGGTTGACTGAATTACGGAATACAATGGACAGATTGGATGCAACTAGATGATTTGAACTCCGCAGATGACTATGGTCAGGTAATGCTTGCACTCTCCGCCTACTGGAGTCTGTAGATAAGCTTCTAATGAATCCAATTTCGCAACTTACATCCCCTCATTCAGTTTCACAAATAAGTCTTCTGTTAACGACAAAGGGTAGTGATGGGCTTGGTTTAATCCAGTCTAATAGTCTGCATATAGCCAGATACTTCCATTTCGTTACTTAGCAATAACTTTTGGTGCTGCCCAATCAGAAAAATTCACCAGTTCTATGATTCCACTTCTTTGCAGGCGCTCTCATTCTTGTTCAAAATAGGTAGCTCTGCATAAGATAACGGACACTTTGGTCTGAAAATGAAGTGACACCGAGTTTAAGAAGTAGTATTACTTTTACTTTTTGTATCCCCCAGTTCTTCCGTGAACACGTGACTATGGTTCTCCAAAGCAACGTCCCTGAAATTCTTCTCCGCTTGTTTGTTGATCCTCAAGTAACGGCATATGTGATTAATGGATTGGTTTGCTGAATGCTATGTTTCTATTAGGTCGAGACCCAGCAAATCTGGTCACAGGCTCTCTATGAGGCGTAATGTCGCATCGGCCTTCGCAGTTCCCTTTGAAAACACACGGTATACCTCTCCAAAAATATTTAACTTCTCTCCAGATGCACTAGGAGTTAACTGGGTTGTTGGGATCACCTGGGGTTTCCAATATGCTTCCATGTTCTTCGGCTAGTGAGTATGGCATCGGAAGCAGTGCCAAGCCGCGGGCGGGCACGGTGACCGTCAACTCCGATGGCTACATATTTTCGTCGAATATGATCTGTTCGTTTGTGAGCTACCATTATTCTACTGCTTGATGCATGAGGTTTATATCTCCTGGAATAAAATTGCGGTGGACGACGACACATCTCTTTAAAGCACTATTCCTTATGTCCTTTATGTTGACATTTGGTGGAACGGTCGTTTTTATATGGGCAAAACTTCTTATAATGCCACTCACCGAATAACCAGCACGAGGATGGAGGCTGTTTGTTTGAGCTTTCCTGCTTTCGTACAAAAGAATCTTTCTGGCCACTTATTACCTGTACTTATAGTTACCAGCCACTGTTTTCAACCACAGAAGTGTCATGTTTTAGGTCCACTAACCTCTGAAATCCGATGGTCACTTCTTGTAGCGTTATGTTTGGACAAAGTTCAATTTTACTCAGAATTCTGGTTCTGATATCGGCATCTTCAGGTGACTGCAAGGTGCATATAAAAACAAGACAACTGAACTAGTCTTCTGTCATTACCGATAATTTAAAACGCTCATACTTGCGATTCGCTATGCCAGTAGGTTGCACCAAGTCAGTGTCTCCAGATTTCGCTAACTTAAGACGTTGGTAACGAATGTTGAACAAAAATGACTGTTGACCAAAGATTTGCGACAAAATTACGACCGTTGCACCAAATGAAAGGTCTCTGGGATTCCTGGGGAGAATGAAGTTGGTATAGCATCCAAGTCCAGCTGTGCCAATTTTACGTAGCAGTACTTTGACCTTTGCAGCATCATCACACTTTTCTAGGTCGATCTTCAGTACATCTTCGTGTTTCCTGAACCACGATTCGGATGTAATAACAGCCGAACCATCAAAATGAAATTCATGGATAGAATTAATGGTTTGGTCGACAAGTGATTTGAACGGATCATCTATAAGCCTTTTTTGATTTGGGTTCATTTGCTGGGCTAGAGCTTCTAGAATACGAATCTGAAACTGTCGGCAACGTTTTTATTGACATATTATCAAAGCTTCAACTTGGTCAAAGGTAAATGACATCTTCATAATTTAGCCCTGTCGCCAGTTGTTATATCTAGAGCTCCGATTTTTGATATACCGCATACAACTGGAGCACTCGAGTGATAGAACCCTCCAATGGGCAAATGAGAAGACAGAAGACAAATGAATGGAATGCTGTTTCAAACAGTGTAAAATATGATACAAAAATCTCAGGCATTTATAGTTTTTAGTTAAAACAAAGTTGTTATTATGGTCATCCAATCCGCATACAGATGTTTTTAGCATTTGTCCAATAGGGAAACGACACGTAGAGATTCTTCAATATTCGTCTAAAAATGATTGAATGGAATATCTTCAGCTTAAATTACAGTCCCTTTTGTTCGATACACAACACTTATATCAAGTTTACTTGATAAGCTAGGATTTGAAACCGAAATGAGTACCTTGGCCTTCGGCGTAGGAGAGAGTTTATAGCTAATCTTTGATGAAACCCTTTCATTTAAGGACTTGAACTATATTCCAATTTCTTTCACTTCATATTCTCAACATTCCTTCCTTGATTTTTAAATAAATACCCTAATTCAGACATTTCATCAAAATATTTTGTTAGTTCCTTCGTTTTGTATTTTATGCAACGTAGTAACTATTTGATTTTTAGAATAATTACTCTGATCATAGCATTCTTACTTCCAATTACTCAGTATTGTTTTACAATCAATTTAACTGTTACGTAGCGTAACTGCTTGATGATTATCATTTTAATGATGTAAATCATACATACAGACATGGGCGTACAGCCATGTGAAGAACCTAGCTGTAAAAAACTTTCTTCACTCAGTTTATCCATTTTAACGAGTCGATGGTTTATCGTGGTGATTACTTATTGGGCAGGTCATTCATTGAAATTTTAGGGAATATTAATCTATGTAGTCAGCAACTGTTTCCCAAAACAGTGAGTTGAATTTACTCATTATTGAGATTGTTGGTGACTAACTTTAGATTTAAGTCTGTTTTAAAAAAATTATTTTGGTTGTTAATCTTTTCTTACTAATCCGTTGATTCTTACATAGGCATATATGTCTTTGTTTTTGGTAAATGCGATTATTAGAGTCTCGTTTTCTCAGTAGCTGCGATCGTTCATGGGTTTGTGAATATTTCTTATCGGTTCATTTGCTTGAAATTTACAGGAAATTTGCGAAAATCATATTGCACTGTAGGCTTACAACGAACCTTGATTCTGTTTTCTAAGATCCACTAGAACTTTATGTCTGTCAGACAACCACTTCAAACATATTGTGACATGTGTTCGTTCTTATGGTCATGAAAGTCTGTCTAATGAACGCAAAGTCTACTCCAGAAGCGTTCTTCCTAGTTGTGGTATTTTCATTCTAAGTCTGAAGTCTGATCAAATAAAATTGTCTACTTACTTAGAACTCACACATTGGACACATCAGAGGTCAATCTACGGATCTGAGTAGATAGTTTATTGACTGAAAAAAGTTGTCTACCTCCCTGTTACTTTTCATGTGACTGGTCGTTAGTTACAACATGTTTTCAAAAAGTTTTGATGATGCTGGCAATGCCGTCAACATTCTCGACAGTAATGATGCAAAGAATGTGGCGTCCTCTTGAGTGTAGCCAAAGTGTATAATGGCCGGATAAAGGCACGAAAGAAGTTGGGAAAATGTCAGCTCATCGTCTGCACAGATGAGGGCGCTCAAGAATGATGAGCTATACCTGGCTTATATAAAGTTAATCCGAACTTTTCAACTGATAATATTTGGTAGAGAGACTAAACTGTCTTCCAGTGATTTTGTTTTAGGCCTGCTTTGAAATACTATTATTCAATGGCTTTGAGGTCAGTGTGTCCAAACGGACTGAAACTAAACAAGACACCCCATCAAATATAGCTTCACTTTACAACATTATTATAACTTAAATTATCCGTATGATCCTTTCAGCTGTTGATTCAACAACTAAGCAAACTGAATTCCAAATGAAAGCAAGAAATCATAAACAGAACATTCAGCAGCTATTTTTGGACGCTTGTAACAAACCAAGTTTCAACAATGCATAGTATCATTAACTTGGATTTATGGAGTTCTTTGATCTCTGATAAGAATGTGGCAGAGTCTCCATACATAAATATGACTTTCGGAGTCAGTGATGTTAAGACATCGGGTAAGTATTCGAATTTCGTGATGAAACTTAAGGAATGCTGACCAATTACTAATGTTGAACCATTTCTTGATTATCACACATTGTATATGGGAAGGAAAATCAAGTGATTTCTAGGATAAATAAGAGAAGTGGTTTCCAGCATGTCTGAGTTAATAAAACGGCTGAAATAGAGGTCAGGAAAGTTATGCTTCTTAGGAGATAATAGGAAAATGTAACTTCGAAGAGCACTTAGTGTCAGGTTGTCCTGGTTCAAAGAATTACTTATTGAAATCCCGATGATCAAGAAATTATGTATGGGTTAAGGAGTTCTGCTGTAAGCCCTGAGGCCTATTTGTTTGACTGTTTTTTATGCTCATTCCTACTTGACTTGATACGAATAACGAATTGATTTTTAAAGACAACCAACATCCCCTAGGTCTGAGTGTGCTTTTTGAGAAACTCAAAGTATTTACCTCACTATAGTTCCCTTACCCGAATGCTATCTTCGATGACCGAGTCATATTGATGCTGTTTGACAACCTTGGAGGTTCAGTTAAACTCATTTCCACTGAGTTTCAGCCATCATTTCGTTGCTGCGCATCCATGAATGAAATGTTTCGAAATTAAGAGTAATATGTTGGGAAGCGAAGTGGTACTGTCAAACTTAATTTACAGACTGTCCATTCAGTAGTTGAGTATCGTAATGATTGGTACAGTATCCTGCGTCGTTTGCATTTTATCAGAGTATTAAATTCTTTGCAGCTACGGTTGCTTTTGATTTTATTTAGCACTATGTTGGCTGGTTAGCTATGGTATTCTCCAATCAGTACTTCCACGTTATTCGCATCAGATACTTATCAAATCTAATAGCTATCCAAAGTTAAGATAATGAAATGTGACTATGGGGTTTGGTGCTGTACTGGATGACTTTTCCCCCGTTTATCAGCAATTAAGTTACCGAACCATTTAAAAGTATTCGAGGATGTGATCTCGACTAGATAGATAACTTGGTTATAATAATCGTCTAACTGGATTATACTGCTCACTCACCAGTGACCTTAAGGTATGTAATATATTTTGCCTCTGCAACGAATGACATGCATTAAAATATCGACGTTTGTTTTTATTTGTCGTCGTACCAAGGCTGCTTATTATAACGTTTGATACAGTTCTCTGTCGCATGAGTGTTTTTTGGATAATGCATTTATTCCTGTTACTGCTATACTCAGCTGGGTATATTTTTGATGACAGATATTGCATGGCGTACTAGGTTATGACTGTCAAAAGTTCGCTACATAAATCTTGCAGCTAACTTGGCTTTGTTTATTTTGAGAAAACGCGGAATTGATCAAAATAGCAATTCTTACTTACCTTTACGAGCTTATGAGTCTACTAGCTCAAAGGACTGGATTATACCGGACGAAATTGACAATGTTTCGTGTTGAATAATCGTCGCATAGCATAAGCTGGCATTCTTTGTTACGTAGGACGAAAGAATGGTGTAGGGAAATTTGTATGAAATATTTTCATGTTCTTTCGACTCTTCTCCTTTTTTCAATAGCTAGTTGAAATTCGACAAGCAGTCACATTAATTGGTAATGACGATAACATTTTTCTTCTTTTTTCACAGTTTAACCGGAATTGTATGCTTTAAAGATCTCCCAGAATAAGTGAAGCTTAGCTCCGTGAAACTGTTGTTGCACCCTGCTACCATGGTTCAATTTTCTAACATCTGACTATTTATGTTCGCTCATAGACGTAAATACTCACAAATGCTCAGATAATCAAACGACTGAAATCCGTAGTTATTTCGTTTTATAGCTTGGCCGCACTATGTCCATATTTTTATCTTGTCCTTCGTTCCCATAAACATGACATGACAAAAAGCTAACATAATCTGTAAAAACCAGATTTCCTAGAGTTCCAGCTATGATGTGTATTTCATGGCTTTCCTCATTCATTCGAAAGTGTACCATGACTCAGCGTTTCGTTGAAAATAACAGTGATATGGGTGTAACTGCAAGTATAAAATTAGCTAAATGTACGAGTTAACTGAGATGTCATTCCTTCAACACTTTTTTTGCTGTTACTTTGTACAAGAAAAGTGAAAGACGTTGAGTAATTATGTCTTCATGACGTATGAACTAGCTACTCGTCAAAATAAAGGGATGTATGATGTTTGTGTGAATTAATGATTTTTTTGTACTTGATTACTGGTTGATTCCGAGTTCTAAACATAATAGGTTCATTTAAGCCCACCTAGTCCCATTTGAATTAAATTATGCCATTTCGAGAAACCCTAGTTAATACAATAATTTAAATACTTCTAATTATCATATAAGCGAGTCAAATCTTGTACAGTCGGACATTAATTCAGTTGGGAACGACTTCAAAAACTACATAGAGCGGTTTAAAATCTGATGCATGACTAGAAAAGATATTAAAATGATAAGTCCGCAGTTTATATTCTGACCTTATACAGCAAACTTGCTCATAGTCTGCAAAATAATATGGCTTTTCCAGAGAAACCAGCTTCATTGTCATACAAATCTCTCAAAGATTTACTACTAAGTCATGTGCAGTGTGCTAGCTTTCAGTGCGGAGAGAGACTGAAGTCTCATATAATGGTGTGATAGAATGATCAGAAAGTTAGACTTCATACTTGAAATACAGAAAGAAGCCGCGAAGTACAATTTTTGGGCCCATCTCTAAATTCCATTTCGTGATTGGTTGATCACTGGGATAAATGTTCCGAATTTAAGGAGAGATTATTTCATAAACACTAAAGTTATTTCAAAGAAATTGAGACAGCATGAATAAACTATGAGTCAGTGAATGAGGTTGGCTTTCAGCAGAAAGTTTACAATACTCTTCTCAGTCTTTGTGATGAACTACACCTCCAGGTTCTCCAAGCTTGCGTTTGATCATTAATGGTTACTATTCCCGTGAAAATATGAAAAATGATTCAACAAAGAACTTCAAAGCAGGTCACAAAGGTGAGCACATGTTTGGTAAATGTTTGTACTATAACAAATTTCATTTGTGTGATTCGTGTGTATTTCGTAATGTTACGGCCAAGTTTTGCTCGTTCTAGTTATTGAAGTACGGACTATCGATCTACTTGCAAATTACGAACCCAAATTAATAACAGAACCAAACTCCAATTTGGATACCAAATTTATTCGTAATTCACAAATAATCGACCAAATGTCGTTCTAAAAACAATAATTATAATAATTACAAAACAAACCTTCAATTTTGTAGGTTCCCGGAGCAAAACTCTCAAATACCAAACCAAAGATAGAGAGAGCACCAAAATACCAAACCAAGGACAAACCAAAATGTCCGAAATAATGATATAAACAAACAAGTTCAAAGTTAAGTAAAACAATTACATCCAAAAACACAGTAAATTATTAATGTACAATAAAAAGGTTTTAATTTGCCAAATGTCTTCAGTTCTCCCGTAACACTCCCGACCAAAAGAACCTTGGTTCTTTTCACAGACAAACAAATAAGCAACAATAATCCAAATATATGCATCACAAACAATCAACAACAAACACTCAATATACCAACAATTTCGTGATCCCTAGGACTTACACCAGTACGCCTAGGGACCCGAGTAGCTACCTACCATCTACGGCTTCAAGAAGACACAGTTTTCTAATATCTCTCACTAGGATCCTCTTTTTTGTCCTCAATTCTACCTGCCTCACTAATCTATCCTTACTTGGTAACACTCTCTGCACTAGACCCAAGGGCCATTTGTTTTTCTCGGAGAACTCGGAACATATCATTACTAAGTCACCCTCTCGTATGTTCCTCTCTAGTTGGGTCCATTTGTATCTACGCTGTAACAACGAAACATATTCCTTAGACCAACGTCTCCAAAATACTTGTGCCAAGTAATTCGCTTGCTTCCATCTCTTAGAATACCTGTCATTAGATAGGACGTTAGTGAGTTTGGCGACGTTCTCTCTCAATAGTAATAGTTTCGCTGGTGTTATTGCATCGAGATCATTAGAGTCGTCCGGAACCGGAACCAAGGGTCTATTGTTAATTATACGCTCAGCCTCTATCATGAACGTTTCAAAGCATTCATCTGTTAAACATTGTTCCTTTACAAGAGCACCCAATACCCTACGTACAGAGCGAATCATGCGCTCCCAAACTCCTCCCCAATGACTAGCAGCCGGAGGACTGAAATGCCAGTCAATCCCTTTTCTTAGCAAATCAGAGTGTATGCGCTCCTGCACCCAATCCTGAAGACATTTTCTTAGCTCACGTTCAGCCCCCACCAGATTTGATCCATTATCACTGTATATCTCTTTTGGATAACCTCTCCTGCCGATAAACCTCATCAATGCCATGATAAATGAGTCTGTGATAAAACTATATGCAACTTCCAGATGCACAGCTCTCAACCTTAAACATGTGAATACACAACCATATCTCTTCTCGGTACGTCTACCATGTTTGACCATAATGGGTCCAAAATAATCTACACCGACTGATAAGAATGGATACTCACCATCTTCTATTCTGCTCGGAGGTAGTGGCGCCATCAGTTGTTGGATGGGGCAGGCGTTCCTCCTTTTACAATAAACACAATCCTTAATCACTCTCCTCATGGTCACACCACCCCTCAGCACCCAAAATTTTTCTCGAACTGTTGCCATTACCTGTGTGGCTCCAACATGCCCTTCCAAAATATGATAATACTGTAGAATTAAATTTGTAATTCTATGCTTTGATGGTAATATTATAGGATGCTTCCTCGACTCGGGCCAGGAACTAATTTGAAATCGGCCACCAACACATAATAATCCGTTTAACATCATTGGATTTAAGATCCGCAACGGTGAATTCTTTATTTTCGCCTTGCTAATGGTATCAGACGACAATATTTCAATCTCTTTCCGAAATACTCTGCGTTGGACATATCGAATTAAATCTAAACAGGCTAAATTTAATTCATCAACTCTGAGCATACCCACCTGTAGAGACAGATCTATTCTACCAGAGCGCATGATCAATAGATATCGCTTGAATCGGGTTAACCATGCAACAGCCTTAAGTAATTTAGTCCAATCTGAATAGTAATTAATAAGTAAATCGACGGAGGATTCTTCAATTAATACATGCGTGGACATAGCTTTCTTTAATTCCAAGAGATGGGGATCAGGACCTCGTATATCAGCAGCAGGCCAAAAGTCCTTTGGCTTCCTCAGAAAATGTGGACCCTCCTCCCATAACTTGACGTCATTGATGTTAAACTTGACCCCTCTGGATGTGAAGTCTGCTATGTTTTCATTAGAGGGTACGAATCTCCATTGGTCCACTTTAGTAAGACTATGAATAGTCGAAATCCGGTTTGCTATGAATGTTTTAAACTGGCTTTTCTCATTTCTAATATAATGTAAGACAATCATAGAATCCGTCCAAAATCTAACCTCTGCAAACTTAACATCTAACTCGAACTGCAGCTGGGACCCCATGCGAGCTGCTAAGACTGCAGCTGTAAGTTCCAAACGCGGTATAGTTTGAACTTTCAAAGGGG